TTATTTTGTACACCTATTAAAAACAAATCTGATATGAAATCATACTTTATTGAATATAGAATTAAACTATACAAAGTCCACGGAAACCGCTTAAAGTATTAAAGAAATATCCAAATTTATTTTTCAGTTGAACTTTTGGGACACTGTAGATTCGACACAGATCATAAGAGAGGACCCTGGTCGGTGCTTTTATTTGAAATCCTTATGCACCTATGTCGACATAGAATGTCAACAGTACACGCCGTTTCTCCAAATAAATTAGGAAAGCCAAGTATCTTGTCTCATACAATAAGATGATCTATAGAGCAGTTCAGAATATTTTTCTATGATTCTAACTTGAGATCTACTGTTGATGCGAAAACTGAGTTTCTCAGCAGATATAATTCTGATATAACATGCAATAAAATATGCAGTTTTTTATTTATGACAATAAAAATAAGTCGAACAAAATTTATCTGGAGCCATAAGTCTAGTATTCACCGTAAATATAAACAAATTTAGAAGCCAAAAGGAAGAAACTTGCATGCTGCTATTTCACAAAAATGAAAGAAAACAACTAGGAAAATATTTGTCCAAAAGTTAGGTAACGCCTAATTCTTGTTATCATAAAGCATGACAAGAAAATATTTGAATCAGTAACATTTACGAGCGTTACATGAAAGTAGATTTAAATGACTGAATGATATGCAAACTATCTCGGAACACTATAGAACGTCATAGAATACATACATACATACATAAAAGCAGAATTCTTAAACAGCAAAATAACTGCGTTTTCATTAGTGAGAATGAACTGTTTGAAAGGATCATCAAAACATGCCATGATTGGTAGCGCTAGACGATAGAAGGATCATAGCAAAACAAGACAGCGAAGTCGTCGATTTAATAAAAGCATAGGATTTTCTGATGAAGTGACGAAATAGGAGGAAACTAACTGATATACTGTCAATCGAGGCTTTCTGAAAATATAGCGAAAGTAATATTTTGACCAAAGGGAAAATAGCTGATTCCAAGATTCCGGGATTCCATTGATTCCAAAAGATTCTGCGAGATTCCAAGGATTCCATCTGATTCTGCTGCTCGGAATCAACTATTTTCTTCTGGGGTTTTCTTCACTATTGTAAGGACGATAGATGATATTGTTCGTGTTGTTTATAGGTTTCCAATGGTCTTCTATAATTCGCCTCGAACAATCTAATCTTGTCTTCTAATAATAGGAGGGAACTAGATATAGGAGGAAGAGAGGGAAGAGGTACGATAGTTTTTTTGGGTAATCTTTTTCTCCACTGTTTTAAGGGTGACACATAATGTTGTCTACGTTGAATACAGATTTTAAGGGTATCCTTTAAATTGCTCCAAACAACCGAATGTGGTTTTCTAACAATAGGAAAGAATTGGATATAGAGTGGGAGAGGAAGGGAAAGATGGGTTTGGCGGGCATGATCTTCTTCAGTATAGAAATGACATCAGATAAAGGTGTTCGCGGCGAATTAAAGGAGGCTCTTCAAAACCTATAATCGACGCAAACAACATTATGTTTTATCCTTACAACAGCGGGAAAAAAGATCACCCAAAAAACCCGTCCTTTCACCATCCCTCTATATTATTCTCCGCTATCGTTAGAAGACAACATTATGTTGTTCGGGGTGATCTATAGAGGTCCCTTGAAAATCTCTAATCGACACGGATAAAACTATATGTTACTCTTAAAATAGTGGAAAAGTCACAACCGAAAAAACCGACCTATTTCTTCGACTCTCTTTCATTTCTTCTTTCTCACTCTCTCCTTTCTCTTTCTTCGTTATCTTAAGGATTCCAGGATAAGATAATAGTAATGTATTAACAGACATCAAGCTACCCAATGATTGAATAAATCATCGATCAGCTGTTTATGTACACAGTCAAACTAGTACCAGATCTCCACTTCCAAATTGGCACTAGTGTATACCAGAGCTGCTGACTTGGTAGACAGCAGACGAAGTTGGATTTCTAAATTTTTGCCTGACCTGATCGGGCTAGAAAATTCTTGACCTGGTCTGCAAACTAAATTTCTTAGCCTGGATATGGTTTAATACTAGCATTTACAGTATTCACTTCTAAGAATAAGACGACTACATGAGTCAATGTTTAGAATTTTTCAACCTCTTTTTGAATCTTCTCCTTTCATGATACGCAGCTACAATTATTTCTAGCACTTTTTGTGCGAAAACTATTTAAAATTCTTCTTACTTATTTAATCTTATACTAAGGAAAATCGCGCTACTCAGTTAATGAACTTCATAGATTCAGGAGCTGGTCTAAACTAGAATTGAATTAAGAGTTTCATTTAATGGAAATGATGAAGAATTAAGTTCTGTCCACTCTTAAAAATAACATGTGAATAAAAGTCATCAAACCGTAAGATTAGTAGAAGATTTTAAGCTAATTGTGAGAAGTTCTCATTCGTACGTATTTAAAATTGAAGAGACCTTACATATCAGCAAGTGTTCAAAATAATCGATACTTTTCATATATACGTAGCTATAACTTCATTCCAAAAACGTTCAAATATGTCTACATAGATTCCTAAATTTCAACATCTACTTGATTGACTACATGTGTGAAAGTGTTTGATTTCAGAACTCAGACCTATATTCAGGTGTCAAAGATTTTCATAAAAACGATCTTAAACTTGATTCATGAGTGCTCTTATTTGAGAATTGCCATAGTATAATCTATTGCTCCCATGAAAACAAGTCGGATCACAAACTGCAACGTATTCAATGAATTAATCCTAATTTGTAAATTTTGTAATAATTAAAAGTCTGAAACATCAGTTCACCTGGTTTGGCCTGCAAGTCAGGCTGAGCTGCAGGCTGACTTTCGAAATTTGGCCTGGCCGGTCACGCAGATCATGCTAGTCAGGTCAAACTAAAAAAGGTGGTCTGTTTGCAACTCTGGTGCATTTCTAATCCGAGTGATTTCACAATGCTTCTGAATGATTCCAAGTGATCCCAGGCGATTCCATGTGATTCAGTCGGCTGGAATCAGCTACTTCCCCGAGCATCTGATAATAATCGATTTTATTTGTGTAATTATATAGGATATTTCCTATTTGTACATCTGATTTCCACTGATCCCATTGACTGATTCCTCTGACTGATTCCAAAAGATCCCTTTGATTCCAAGGGATTCCATTGATTCCATTGGTACAGAATCAGTTGTTTCCCCCCCTGATTTTGACACTATTCGAAATCATACATATATAGAAAAGAGAAGAGTAATTGTGCAAATCCAGAAAAGTTAATTGATGAGATTTTTTTCAAGATGCCACACTTTATGCAATCTTTGTCACTTGCGCTCCGTGACATGATCGGTATCCTATAGATGTTACTCGTAGCATCGATTACAGTTCTCTGAGTCATTGTGTATTGGCATTTCAAAAACTAACTGAGTAATAATTTCTATGGATACAATAGTTCAAAATAAGCCGTCTTCGATGATCTCGCACACTTTTTGCACGTCCAAATCATATTGTACGTGGCTACTAATGAATTAATATCTGAGAGCAGATGTTCCCAATATCAATACTCGATGAAGACGAGAAGTGATAATGAATCGAGCTGCTTCTTCATGACACTTGATAAATTTTTTGGATATCAGTTGGAAAATGACGACTACACAGAAATTTTTTTTCTATTTTCGAAGATGATCGTCTCCGATCTCTCGATATACTAATTGATATGACCTACACTTTTCTAGCTAACTGCTGTCAATGATGTCTATTCATAGACATCATTACAACAAAAAACTCGACCATTCAATTTTTTACTGCTGCCTTAATGTCATCGAAGACAGTATCCAAAATAATCGTTACTTGAGAAGAGACGTGAAGAAATACAAATCTTCTTAGACCATTTCATCTTAGTGAGATAAGTTTTGTCGAAATAATATCAGCTCACAATCTTCTGACGTTGAACAAATGTATTTCGCTCAAACAGGTAAAAATATATACACAACTGGAAATGACTTGCATGGAAAATATTCATCCTCCGCTTTAATATATTTTTTCTCTAAAACTAATTCAAGAGAAAAAGATGGGTTTGGGGTGTGACGCATTTCGACGACTTGTTTTTCTCAGCGTTGAAAAGAGAACCAAATAACTTCGAAGTGCCTCTTACATGTAGAAACTTTAGGATATTTTTACTTGTTCAAGTTACAATCCTAAAAATGGTTATTGTGGTGCCTTGATCAAGGTTCGACGGATTTGAAGTTATGCTACCGACTGTTGTAAAAAATATGGCTAGAAAACATGTTTACGATCTTACATCTGAAAGTATCCATGCCAGAGAATTGAAAACAGAAAAAATAATGTGTACTAGTTTTGACAGAAATCAATAAAAATTAAATAAGCGTTAGCTGGTTAAATAAACATTCGAAACAGTGACCTTGATAACTGTTGTAATATACTGCAGTGTTTGCGCAAGTGTTTTGATTGAGTATAAGTTTATCGCCAAAAAACTTATATAGTCTGCTGAATATATTGAAAACATTTATTTAATAATTGAAAAACGTTGTGATTGCACAGAAAGTGGTGCACTTATACGTATGCCGACTCAATGAATTAGGCAAAACTATTGCATCGACAGTTTTCTATAGAAACTTCCTATGGTTAAAGATAGACTAATATGCGCATATTAATTTTGTGTTATTCCTTTACGACTGCCTTCTCGTAGATTGAAATGATTTCTATGGATGAAAACGCAAAATCGGTCGATTGCTCGCCTCCTAAGGAGGATGTTTTCGTTGATGCAAACGAAGAAACAAATCCAATTTCAAATGCACGAAACGTAAGAAACATTCAGAACCTTACCACCGATCGAATAGAAAATTACACGATTCGACAGACTATGTATGACTTTTTCTTTTGATATCAAATATGGTCGTTGTTGTTCTTTTCTAGAAAGTCTTGTTGCTGGTCAATACTGAATTTAAGTACAAAACCTGCCTTTGTATTGCCTATGATTACAAGTATAGCTATGACCATTGGTATACTAGTAGTTTGCTTTACTGCATCAAAATCACCAGGTATGTCCTTGTTACTTTGCATCCTTCATATTCAATACGATAAAAATCCATAGTTGATTCGATTCTGTTGTACTAGTGTTGTGAGTTTTGGTTAAAAAAATTCAAATTGTGATAATATTTCATATCAACATGTTCGAAACAAATCATTAAGCGAGAACAGATTAAAAGCATTACAACTGCTTCACTTTTCTATTTCAAATTAGCACTGACGAATGCGAATCAACCAAGATGATCATCACCAGTAGATTTGATACATAGTCCATAAGTTGGACCCTTCTATTTTACTTATTGTTAGAGATTATAGATTAGAAAAGAATTCCAGAAAGAATCATTCTATTGTCGCTTTGTTCTAGACGAACAAGGATAATAAGTTTCTCTAAGACGAAGATTATTGCGTTTTTCATATATATTTTTTTTCATATCTCAATAAAGCAACAATTTCACGATCTGGTTTTTTACAAACTGATATTACAAATTGTTAATTTTTGCAGAAAGATCAATTTTATCTCATTCAATGTTTTTGAATCACTTCTTCTATTATTTTTGGTGGTATTTTGTCACATCTCTAAATGAAAACAGCAGCTTATTCTAGATTTCTTTTTCTCTATCTCATCGATATGTTTTTGGATATAACAGGAATGCGACAGAATAAGAGAAAATACAAGTGATTTTTTTCATAGAACATGATGAAAGCAAATATTTCTTTTCTACGGTACACAGCTTCTTTACATTTTCTCACTTTATGTTGCCTGTAGAGGACAGTAACCATTATATGTGTTCCATCTATATCTTCTTTCGTTCTGCTATTATGTCTGAATGTGTATACGTCCTCTTTTCTAGCATGTTTCGATACATTCGTTTTCTTTTCTCGATCTTTCTGTATGGTTCATGTGTGTTCTCTCTTGTACTGTCCAATGAGTTCTCATTTCCTTATTATGTTCCTTGAAACTATAAAGCTTTGTATGTGCGCCGTCAAATAATAATTCTATCTGACTAGTAGCTAGCTAGTAATCGACTATCTAAAATCTGACATCAGACAAATTATCCTATAATTCACTATCTTCAATCAATTCTAGCAAAGAATAAATTGTATTTAATCTTTATAAATGTTTGGATTATATTTTGAAAAGAACGTCTCATATATTTGAAACGGAAATGATATTGAGTCACGATGAAGAATTAGATGATCATAAGTTAGAAGATCTATCACAATTACTATCCATATATAACCATATTGGTGGATATAGTGTAGATGTCGGAAGGTGAATGTTTCTCTAATCTAACCTCACACTCACACCTGTTTCTAACTTCTCGACCTATGACCAAATAGATGTGGCTCAATAATTTTTTTTGAAAGTTGATTTGGATCTATTTCAGAATGTTAAAGACTTTTGTTTCACATTTCAAACAAATGTATGTCATGAAAAAGTTGTATTGATGGGTCAATCATTCGTTGATCTTGGTACAACTAGAACTGTGGTTCACTCATTTTTCCGAATTATCATTATCATTAGACTGATCAATTATTTTCTTAATTTTTTGTTTCATTCTCATTTCCAGTATCATTTTGATTTTCTTATTAAGTAAAAAAAGTTAGCTAAAGATCTTCTATTTTTATACGACAAGAAACGATAGGTAAGATGAGTTTCTGAAAAGCCAGTTTGTGAAAAAATTACTTTATTGAGATATGGACAATAGGACGAATTCTTTTGGAGTTTTTTTCTACTCTGTATGTTCTACTATTGAAAAACCTATTAGGTCAAACAGAGGATATTTAGAAATATGATATTCGAGTGAGAGAATATTGGTCAGTTTGATTTTTGTCGCAAAGAAAGTCAGTTTTATGGAAACAACAATTTTCTGTAAACTTTGATCATACGTCTGTAGAGTCGAGGAATCTGCAGGAGAGATGCATAAAGAAGACAAACCGATTGACTTCGGAACTCTCAAAAGAAGTACATATTTCAATGCAGAATAAGCTAACAAATCATTTGATACCACATTCAAACTATTTGAGAAATAATCCAATGACTTCTGACGCAGAGTGCTTTACCATATTTTCACTGCGTCCAGGTGGTTGTATACTAACAATAAGTTTGTCAAAGCATCTAATAGTAAATATAAGCTCAATTTATGGTAAGCTAATAGTGTTTCTATCGATATTTCAGGTATGTCATGAGGGTTTAGGCGTCTCAATTGCTTTCGAAGTGGCTTTTACGATGGAGTGATGCAGTTTTGAATGATTGCACGTTAATGTAGTTTTTTTTCTGGAATTGATCTACGATGATTAGTGGAGTTTTGTCATCTGTATATTTATGATATTCACAAGAAAATTGTGCCGATGTGTAGTCTGTCAAAAACTGCATCAAACTCTAAAGAGAAATACTATTAGTTCATTATAAATTCATCTTATGTTTCCTATTTTTGGATGATTCATATGAGAATTTGTGCAGAATTTGCTACTCTTTCAAATGAAACTATTTATGGGCAGATGAACAAATGTTTTGGCAAACTTATTGTTAGTATATGGCCATCTGAATGCAGTAAAAATGTGGTATAGTAATCTGCATCAGAAGCCATCGAATCGCTTCCTAAATAATTTGAACGTTGCATCAAACGATTCGTCGTCTCATTCTGCATTGAAATATATACTCGTTTTGAAAATTCTGAGATGAGCCGATTTGTCTTCTTATGTGTCCCCCTCCTTCATTGATAACTTCTCGAAATGTGTAGCCTTAAGATTTGCACTCTGGAGAGACTATTTCTTGAAAATAACGATACTAGTAACTGTGAGCAACCATGAATGGATTTGAACTCTTCGCCCCTCGAAATCATTTGATCAAACTTCAAACATATAGTTGTTGTCGTAAAATAAGCTTTCTTGGAGTGGAAAATTAAGTGGACATATTTTCCTTTATTGAATAAGATACCTTATCAGCAGCGGTAATTTGTCTCCTTAGTCCTCTGATTAAATACAAAGTGTTTATTAATTACTGGCAAATATTACTTACCACTTACTGTTACATAATAATCGATACCACCAAATATTTGCCTAACCAGTGATAAGTGATTAAGATTATGATGCAACAATAAATAACCCATGATTATGCTAAGCGTATATGACTGCTATATAGGAGATTTTTCAATCATAAAAACATTTACTATTACTTTGGTAAGTGGAAGTCTAAGTAACAGTAAACATGACACTTCCAAGAATATTAGTTGATGAATTTTCTCCGTTAATGGTTTTTTTTGTAAGTTATACCTGTTATATTCATATCTCATAGTAGACCACCGTGTACTAAAAAGTTAAATGATGATATTTCGGCTTAATAGTTTCGTTCCGTACATCTCCCATATTTATCAGAACATCATGAATGTTCCAGTGTTAATCCTTCGAACTAGATCATCTGAAGAAGGTATATCTTTTTCGTTCAAACTTTCAAAATATACTGGAAACTACATAGCTGTGATGATTTAGGTCTAGCGATAAATGAATCTAAGGATAACAAACGAGAATGTTGGAATGATCCCGTCGTTTAGAAAAATAGAAACCATCATATAGCTATAGAGGCCATATTATAACAAATGCAGTACGATCAGACAATAGGAAATCACAGGTCCACATAGACAATATCGAAAATGAATAATCGCTCAGTTCGTCAAGCAAATACTATTAATAAAATTCTGTTTAACTATCCGTTGTATTTTCCCAGATACCACCAGCGGAAAACCTGCCCTATCCTGACTGTTACTGTTAATTATCGATGCACAACATTCATGACACAATTAGAGAATTGTTGCAACACAACGTCATTAGTATTCTTTTAATTTCGAAACACTTTAGAATTTTTGCCACTACGGTATATTTGTGCCCGATGACATATCATGTCATGGAACAACCTGTAAGATAGAGATGATAGTGGTTTTGATCATATAGTTAGGATCAGTCTATGATCCTTACCTAAATAATATTAGTTGTGATATCTGCTATTTAAAAGTCACTATACGGTTCGTGAACGAATTGTCAAGGAAATGAAAGAGAGCGTACAATGATTAATCTGAATGATGAGTTTCGTGAGATTCAACGAGGTTCTGTTGAAAAGTACTGGTTTCCATCTCGATCTGATTGCTATCATCCGACAAATTTCAATAGAATATCATCGGAATTATGGGAATTTGATATAATCTACTAGGGATAGTTCAACCATAATAGCTGATCAGTCTCTATTTCTTTATTCTTGTGTTACTTAGTTCCAAAATGTGAACTTAATTTTAAAGCAACGATCCGAAATCCAATTGACTATAAGTATGATCCACGATCTGTCGCCATGGGCGACTTTAACAACGACACTTGGTTAGATATTGTCGTTACCAATTATGCTGCTGACAATATAGCTATATATTTCGGATATGGCAATGGCACTGTAACAAGTCCAGTCAAGTATTTCACCGGTTCTGGCTCTGCTCCGTGCATGGTTGCTGTTGGTGATTTCGACAACGATCGTCAGCCAGATATCGTCATCGCAAATTTTGGTACAAACAGCGTTGGTGTACTTCTTAAATTCCAAAATGGGTCTTTTGCAAGTCAAACAATGCTTTCAGTTGCATCATCTCGCCCCGTTTGGATCCATCTAGGAGATCTTAACAATGACGCAGCACTAGATATTGTGACTGCTAACTACGGCACACACAGTATAAGCATATTTTTCGGATATGAAAATGGCAGCTTTTCAAGGCCGAGCACGTATCCTACGGGTTATGATTCTTTTCCATTTGCGGTTGTCAGTGGCGATTTCAACAACGACAAACAGATGGACCTTGCTATCGCCAATTATGGCACCAGCAACGTCGGTATAATGTTTGGAACCGGTAACAACACTTTTGCAAATCAAATCACGTTTTCAACTGGTCATAATTCCCATCCATACTCGCTTGTTGTTGGTCATTTAAACGAAGACACCGTGCTAGATATTGCCGTCGCGAACTATGGAAATAATAATGTAGGTGTGCTTCTGGGTCACGGCAACGGAACTTTTATGAGTCAAATGACATATTCCCTCAGTGCTGCTTCTCCATATTCTATTGGCATTGGTGACTTCAACAACGACAAGCGAATGGATTTAGTCGTGACCAATAACGGTACTGATAATATAGCTTTACTTGTTGGATATGGCAACGGTACCTTTGCAAGTCCAAAAATGTATTCAACTGGATCTTCTTCATCAATCTCCATTGCTACAGGTGATTTAAACAGAGATAATCGTTCAGACATTGCCTTTATCAACAATGATACGAGCACCATAGGTATCATGCTTGGTTATGACGAGTTTTTTCCCATTCAAACGACATATTCAACTGGCGCTGCGCCATACTCTGTAGCTGTTGGTGATTTTAATAACGACACCCATCTGGATATCGTCGTCGCTAATAGAGGTGGCAATAATATAAGCATCCTTCTTGGATATGGCGATGGCTCTTTTGCAAATCAAACGACATATTCAACTGGCACTTACCCATACTCTGTAGCTGTTGGTGATTTTAATAACGACATTCATCTGGATATCGTCGTCGCTAATCGGGATAACCAGACTGTAAGTGTCCTTCTTGGATATGGAAATGGTTCTTTTGCAAATCAAAAAACATACCCAACTGGCCTTTCCCCAGTCTTTGTAGCTGTTGGTGATTTTAATAACGACACCTATCTGGATATCGTCGTCGCTAATTATGATAGCAATAATATAAGCATCCTTCTTGGATATGGCGATGGCTCTTTTGCAAATCAAACGACATATTCAACTGGTTATGGGCCCCGCTCTGTAGCAGTTGGTGATTTTAATAAGGACACTCATCTGGATATCGTCGTCGCTAATTGGGGTAATAATACTATAAGGATCCTTCTCGGATATGGCGATGGCTCTTTTGCAGATCAGACGACATATTCAACTGGCATTAATCCTTCATCTGTAGCTGTTGGTGACTTTAATAACGACACCCGACTGGATATCGTCGTCACTAATCGCAATAACAACACTATAAGTGTACTTCTCGGATATGGTGATGGGTCTTTTGCGAATCAGACGACATATTTAACTGATTCTGCTCCAAACTCTGTAGCTGTTGGTGATTTTAACAACGACACCCGACTAGATATTGTCGTTGCTAATTTTGGTGGCAACGATGTAAGTGTACTTGTCGGTTATGGCAATGGCTCTTTTGCAAACCAAATGGTATATTCAACTGGCTCTGGCCCGGAATCTGTAGCTATTGGTGACTTTAACAATGACACCAGATCGGATATCGCCGTTGTTAATTTTAATGACCGTAATGTAAATGTACTACTTCGGTATGACAGAGGAGCTCTGAAAGATACAATTGCATTTGCATCTGCCGATGGTTCTCGTTTGCGAAACTTCGCCGTTTTTGATTTCAACAACGATAACCTATTGGATATCGCCGTTGTCAATTATGGCACTAATAACATAGATATTCTTCTTGGAGATGGGAATGGCACTTTTGAAAACCAAATGGTGTTCTCAACGGGCTTAAATTCTCATCCTTACTCAATCGCTATCCAAGATTTCAATAGAGACGGCCAAGTAGATATAGCTGTGGCCAATTATGGTACTAAAAATCTTGTTACGTTTCTGGGAAGTGAGAATGGAACACTTGAAAATCAAGCAAGTTACGGTGTAAATTTCGATTACGCTCCATTGATGATCGGCGCTGGTAGTTTCAACAAAGATGGACATTCTGAAATTTTTGTCGCATATGATGACATCGATCATATAGATGTACTTGTCACATATAATCTCGGGTCTTTCGATCATCAAATGAGATATTCAACTGGCACTTGGCCAAGGTCCGTAGCTGTTGGCGATTTTAATAACGACACCCATCTGGACATCGTCGTCGCTAATCGGGGTAACCAGACTGTAAGTGTCCTTCTTGGTTATGGAAATGGCTCTTTTGCAAAACAAAGTAAATATTCAACTGGCTCTTCACCATACTCTGTAGCAATTGGTGATTTTAATAACGACACCCATCTGGATATCGTTGTCGCTAATTCGGGTGATAACACTATAAGTGTGCTTCTTGGATATGGAAATGGCTCTTTTGCAAATCAAATGACATATCCAACTGGCAGTTCCCCACGGTCTGTAGCTATTAGTGATTTTAACAATGACACTCATCTGGATATTGTCGTTGCTAATGCGAATGACAACACTACAAGTATACTTCTCGGATACGGCAATGGCTTATTTGCAAATCAAATGACCTATTCAACTGGCTATAGTCCTTCATCTGTAGCAATTGGTGATTTCAATAATGACATCCATCTGGATATCGTCGTCGCTAATTATGGTGACAACACTATAAGCGTGCTTATCGGATATGGTAATGGCTCGTTTGCAAATCAAACGACATATCCAACTGGCTCTTCGCCATTATCTGTGGCTGTTGGTGACTTCAACAACGACATTTATCTAGATATCGTCGTCGCTAATCATGGTAACCAGACTGTAAGTGTCCATCTTGGTTATGGAAATGGCTCTTTTGCAAATCAAATGAAATATTCAACTGGTTCTGGACCAATATCTGTAGCTGTTGGTGATTTTAATAACGACACTTATCTGGATATCGTTGTCGCTAATTGGAATGACAACACTATGAGTGTCCTTCTCGGATATGGCAATGGTTTATTTGCAAATCAAATGACCTATTCAACTGGCTATAGTCCTTCATCTGTAGCAATTGGTGATTTTAATAATGACACCCGACTAGATATAGTCGTCGCTAATACTAATGGATACAATATTACTGTATATCTTGGATATCCCAAGGAAGGTTTTCTAAATCAAATGCAGCTTATAACTGGCAACGGATCTCGGCCTAAGTCATTTGCCATTGGAGATTTTAACAATGATGGTCAAATAGATATAGCAGTGGCGAATTCAGGCACTTACAATGTCGGTATTTTTCTGAGATATGGCAATGGTTCTTTCGCAAATCAAATAACATATTCAACTGATTCTTCTCCATGGGCGGTAGCTACTGGTGATTTCAACAACGACACGATACTTGATATCGTTGTCGTGAATCATGGCAATGACAATGTTGGTGTATTTCTTGGATGGGGTAATGGTTCTTTTTCAAGCCAGAAAACGTTTTCAACCGGTTTCAACTCTCAACCGAACGCGGTTGTCGTTGGTGATTTCAATAACGACACCTTACTGGACATTATTGTCGTCAATTATGGCACAAGCAACGTCGGTGTGTTGCTTGGATATGGAAATGGCTCCTTCGCTGATGTAAAAAGTTTTTCGATCGGTTATGACTCTCTTCCGTTCTCGATTTTTGTTGGTGATCTGGACAATGATGGAAAGCTGGATTTCGCCGTCGCCAATGAAGGAGCTGACAATCTAAAAATTTTCTTACAGACTTGTTAATGTCGCAACTCTTACCTTGAACTTTTTTTAATTTCATTCACTGTTTCTAATTTCTACTAAGTGTTACTAATATTTATTCTAACTTTTTTTTAGTGTGGGTGTGTGTGTTGAAAGTTAATCAATTTTACATACAGACAAGAAATATCAAGTGAAGCTACCACAGTGGGTCTCAATTTGGCAAAGAATCTTGTCAGGTGTGGATGTGTTTATATTAGAGTATAATCAATAGCGAGCAAGACCGTTGTCGATAAGTGCTAAAATTACACTTATCAATTGCACTTGATGAATAATATATTAAGATATATAAATTCTTCTAGTATGTTAAACAAATGTCGAAACTATAGAAAAAATACTTCCAACTAAAAGTAAAACAAAATATTAAATTATCGAGAAGTTTTATATAAGTAAAAAAACTTCTAATAATTTTTAAGAGATTCTCAAATAATTGGTGTGTGTTTATGTTAGAGTATAATCAATAGCTAGCAAGACCATTTTCGATAAGTGCTAAAATTAAACTTATTAAGAGAGCATCCATGATGGAGCCAAGGAACCGAGGCACTGATCAAAATTTTAATTTTTAATTTTTTATGTGCATTCGAAAGACCATAGTCTAAAACTACGAAACCCAGAATTTTAGCTCATTCGGATGTGCTATAGTAAAGTTAGTCTGGTTCGACTTTTGACCACTGTATATCCACCATCAAGAAAATAGTCAAAAATTGTGCCATAAATGTCTACTAGGATTATATTTCAACAAATTAAAGGATTTTTTTCATGTCATACACCAAAAGACAGAGCATCAACAGCTGAAAAAATGAGCTATTTACATTACTATATATCGTATATTAAATGAAGTTTTATAGTCCAACATGAGTGGAAACTGATACAATTTATGAGCCTATGATAGCCGATATTTGATAGTATATCTGCTGCCATCTTTCGAAATCAAAAGGCACCAGGCTGAATTTTTGATATGTTATGTAACTTTTAATTCTCTACAAAGTGGTAAAAGAATATTGAAAAAATTAGTTCACCCTCGAGGAGATATGAGGCTTACACTGTCAGCTTTTTTAATGATCATTTGTGACTCTATGATATAATTCATATAAGACTGAATCGTTTCAGTCAGAAATTTTGTCCTCAATTAGGCACCATCATATAGAAGTAAGAAGTACACATTAAGACCGACATTTTAATACTAAATACATTGAGTTATATGTAGGACAAGCAAGCGTATATTGAGCTACAAAGTATTAATAGTATACTCCTAAATCCATTCAGAAATCAAGGCATCAATCAAAATTTTATTTTTTCATTTAATATGTTCATCGAAATCAATATTGTTTAAAACGTCTAAAATTCAACTTTTAGCATTTGAGATTGTTTTAATGAAAAGCTAATCAATGTTGACTTTTTATGACTTCTTGATCACGATCAAAACAAATACATGAAACTGCCGTCGAGGATTTGAGTCTCATCATTTTGTAGAAAATTAAAAAATTTTTTTTCTTAATAGGGGTGTTACTTTATTTTTATGTTTCGTTATAATAAAGAATAAAGTAAAGACAATCTTTATCTTTATTTTATAAAAAATAAAGATAGTCTTTACTTTAAAAATTAAGATAAAGAAATAAAGATGAAGTGAATCTTTATATTTATAAAATAAAGATAAAGATAATCTTTATTTTTTAAAATAAAGTTAAAATAAAGAATAAAGAATAAAAAATAATTTGTCTGGAAATTACAACAAAATAAGTAAATCACTGTTGTTAGCAACAGACAATGTCAATCAAAACATGTTTTGTTATGTAGAAATATTTTTTGTCCAAAACAAGCCGTAATACAAAATCAGTAAAGTACCGGAAAAAAGAGTTATAACTGTATTCATAGTCTTAGAATGGGGTGTGAGTGTAGGTGTATGTAATATATTAAGAATTAAACTACTACTATAGTTTCGACCTTTCTCAAGGGTCAGAATCATCAGGTAGTTTTAAGCACTGCATAAATATGTGTTTGAAGGTTTGAAGTTGATGGAAGTTCCTGCACTGAATTAATTTGTCTATTTTATGGCAGGCAGTTTTGCAGTATTTCTGTTCTTTACAGTGGGATTGATCAAAGTTGTCAGGTTGCTTTTGAATATTCATTTCGTTGTACTGTTGTGGCTCGGTGCATGGAAATGTGTTTTAGGAGAATTAGATTTGTGTTTGGTATTGGTTTTTTTCATCGGTAGATTCTTGAGAATGATTGTTTTCAAAAGTTAGGCGAGGATTTTTTTTTGTTGTTGTTGATAGTGGGGCTCTGGTGGTATGGGTTTGGTTCGAGCTGGTATCGCTCTTTCAGTTTATCGCGAGCTGTGTCGGATATTTTTCACTTAGGTGTGGGCTTGAGAATGTTTTTGGGGTTGGAGAGAATATAATGAAGGAGATGATGGATAGATTTGCGTAAGTGTCGATAGGTTTCGGAATTGTTGTCTTTTTTCACCTTCATATTTAAGAATGTTAATTGAAGAAGGAGGAAATTGGTTAGGCTGGAAGTGTGGTAGAAAAATTTACGCTTCAGGAAAATGAACTGAGTGTTGCTGATATAAACTAGAACGGTAACTTACATGCATCGAATTTCTTTGTATAGACATGTTGGTGGTTGCTTGTATGGGTTATCATTTTCTTGTGCCTTGATTTTGTAGGAAGTATCTGCGTGTTGTGGAAGTAGTTCACATTGTTCGATGAAAAGTTGGAAAGTGACTTAAAATTTATCTGAAATACAGTAAAGTATAAGAAATATATTTGTATGCGGAGAAGAAGTGATGCGGTATAGGTAAAGACGGTTGTATGTGTATTAGAATAGGAAGCTAAAGTAGTTGACATCGGAAATTTTGAAGAGTAACCTAGTTTTTACAGTTAACTTCAAAAATGGCTAGTGTCTTGATAGAAGTTTATTGCGTATTATATATGAGTTCGTGAGGTTTCTACCTCTGCTTTTTGTTAACTTTCAATGGTCGGCATTCCCCGATGTCGATAAGTGAACAGCCATGTTGCATCTTGTGACGGTGGTGTTGGAATCCTTTGATATTGGTATACTCGTTCTTGATCCCGTTGATCGTTGATGTCTATTTACATACGTTTTTCCTGTTGTATTTTTTGGACAGCATCGATTTGTCTTAATTGTTCGATTTCATCTTCAACGAGGTGATCTTGTTCCGTTGTTGGAGTGCTTTCAAAATCATTTAGTTGCTTTTGTGCCCAGTTTTTTCTTTCATTCATTTCGTTTAGTTTTTCTTGATCCCAATCTGCAACTGCTCTGATTTGTTGTGATTGCTCGATTTCATCTTGCATTAGCATCAGTTGTTCTAGAGCTACCATGCCTTCCAATATCCTTATGTTTTCTTAGGTGTGTGGGTGGGTGTGTATTAGAATAAATCGCCGTCAACGACAACGGTTGTTTCTGTCTTGGCAGGACTTCTTTCAGATGGAAACTTAATATTGTACCTACTAGATAGTGTAAGTGTACGATGTGTTAAATAGCATTAGATTTCGTGTTTCGATATGAGAATTGGAATTTTTTGAACAGATGCTCGTTTAAAATTTGGAAGTGAAATAAAAGTAGGTAATGGTTTATGGAATTGAATGTTTTTTTAAAGTTGTGTCTTGGTATAGTAAGTATGGTTTACCTTGTATGGTTGATTGTTTGTTTGATATTCTTTTATGTTTTGGACCATGTATTGGTGTTTGGTGTATACGTTGCTGTTCTCTGTTTGCTGTTTTTTTGTTTTGTTTCTGTTGGATGCTTTATTGTTTTGATGTTGGCTTGGTAGTTGTGAGTGGTTTTGTGAATTTTTAAGTGGTGATGTTGGTTATTCGTGGTTTTAGGTTTTGGTTATCTAGAAGTAAAATGAAGGGAATTGGTTTTGGTTTTTTTTTTCGTTTTAAGTTATTTTAGTGAAACAAATTGTTGAGTTTGTTGAAGTGTTTTATTTACATAATGATTTTATATACAATGAAAAATATTTACAGTTAGTTTTCAATCATATCTTTGTTTCCTATGGTTGATAATGTAGTTTTGTTAGTTGTTGTTGCGTAAGAGATTGCTTGGTGGTTTCTTCTGAACTAATAAATTTTCTAATGTTTTTGTTTATTCGAGTACCAAGTATAAGTCGTACATTCGGTACTTTTGAGTTCTCATAGTAAAAGTGTTTTTTCCATAGTTGCTTGAATTCTCGACTGAAGGTGTTTAATGGCCCGCTTTCATATCGATAATGTATAACAAGTTCTTTTTCTTTGTTTTGTTTGTGTTTTTTGTGTGTATTTTTCTGTTGTTCGGTCATCGATTGTTGGTTTACTGAAAGTTGTTGTTGATGATGATCAGTTAAAGATTCGTTTAGCAATTGAAGATGAAGTTCTTTGTATCTTTGTTCATCCAAGTGTTGGTAGATTTCCGAGGCATGGTAATTTTTGAAGAGTTCTTTGAAATGACGTTTGATAAATTTCGGTGGATATCCATTAAGAAGTAAGGCCATTTCAATTTTCAATCTTTCATGATCAAATGTATGAACATCTGAACAAATACGAATGCCACGTAGTAAGGCTGTATTAATTGTATTTGAATGAATATGCCGTGGATGATCAGATGTATATGGATGTATATATGGTTCAGCAGCTGGCTTACGAAAGACCGGTGTGGTCAACTTTCCTTCCACATTTTCGATAAGAACATCAAGAAATTCTACCGATTCATGTATCATATAGTTAATTCGAATATTTGGATCTTTTTCATTTGCTTGATCAAGTAATGCTTTAATGTTTTCAATAGATTCATTGGAAGTCATGAAAATATCATCAATATATCTAAAATGTATTTAGTTATGTGACGCAAGTATTTTTTTAAATATCAAACTTACCGGTCGTAGAGTTCATTCCTTATTTGTTGATGTTGAATTAATGATTGTTCCCATTCATACATATAGATATTAGCTAATGTCATTGTAAATGGTGAGCCCATTGCACCACCACGAATTTGTTTATAATATTTATTATCAAAAACAAAACAATTCGTATCTAAGACTAGACATGCTAAACGAATAATTGTATTTATAGATAAATTGCCAATATTGCGGGTGTGGGTGGGTGTGGGTGTGGGTGTGGGGTGTGGGTGTGGGTGGGTGTGGGTGTGTGGGTGTGGGTGGGTGTGTGGGTGGGTGTGGGTGTGGGGTGTGGGTGTGGGTGGGTGAGTGTGGGTGTGGGTGTGGGGTGTAGGTGTGAGTATGGGTGTGGGTGTGAGTATGGGTGTGGGTGTGAGTATGGGTGTGGGTGTGAGTATGGGTGTGGGTGTGAGTATGGGTGTGGGTGTGAGTATGGGTGTGGGTGTGGAGTATCTATTTACTCACACCACGTCCTCACCCACCCACCCACACCCACATCCACACCCACACCCCCATACCCACACCCACACCCACACCCACACCCACCCCACACCCTAAATTCATTTTCATATTGTTGCTCATATTTTTGTAGTTTGTATTCATAAACACTGAAAAAAATATTTAACCAAGTACGTTTTGCTTCTTGTATAAGTTTA